TCTTAACCAGTCTCAGTCCTTGCCCACGAAATCTCTGCAAAGTGTTGGTCTGCGTGTTGGACTTGAAAAAGAATCTCGGAAAGAATATCGGAAAAGACTGTAAACTGAATGGTATGGGATGTGTCTGCTGGTCTGCAACATGCTGCAGGCCACTGTCACCGCTTGCTCAGATCAGCGCCGCTGATTTCTGTTTTGAGCACAGCATATGAACACAGGCCTTGATCTCAGACTGATGGGCCGATGCTTTTCTGCGTCACCTGGCAGGATCTTCGCAGGTGAGAGGCGGGTGCTTTGCCATGTAAAAGCCGGTTGCCTGCTGTGAAAGAATGCCGCATCTGTCAGACACTCAAGACTGGTTCAGTACGTGTGAGCCATCACGGGGTTGGTTGCAAGCCCTGTCTCCGAAACAGAGAAGGCACGGCCAGTGACGTCGACTGGTGCAGAGGAGCTCCACACGTGTTTAAAGCGTTCCTCGTGGGAGTCTGCTGTCGATAGACTGTGACCTGGGAATGGGCTGTCTTCCTACCGAGGTCCTGGTGAGACGGAAGAGTACATGAGGTGCACCACACCCCTCTGAAAATTTCTTAGAGGTCTTGGCGGCCTGCTGGGTAGGCAAAACAGGGATGCGACAAGGCCTCATCTCCGACATTGGAAGGTCTACCAGCAAAGTTAAGGCAGGTGGCTGCATCTGGACGCACGGTACGATTTCAGGTCGGGAGCAGGGCTCCTTGAAAACATGCGGCAACAGTCCAGCGCTGCATGTGCAGGTTGTAGCTGCAGCGCTCCTCGGAGGAACGCTTTTGTGGAAACGTTTAAGGCAAAGCCGAGTCTAAGCGCGGCAAAGCAGCTGGCGACAGTGGCAGCAGGCAAGGCAAGCAGAGTGCGGACAGCAAGATCTCAGCAAAGCTCTGGGCCTCATGCGCATTCGGACCTCCTTGACCTCCTTGACAGGAACGGCATGGCGCTCGAAACAGGTATCCTGTCCTTGGCGCCGGTGTGTCAGCGACATGAAGCAGAACGGGTTGGTGCGCTGCTATCAAAGCCCAAGTCCGCAGCGGGCAAGAAGGGCTTTCAAGCGCCACTTGCAGACAGACAGAAGCTTGCTTCAGGAGCAAAGCCGCTGTTTTGAGCTCATGGTAGCAGCGCACCCTCGGGAAACCGACCCCTTGACACTCCCAGCTGCCCGGCTCACATTGGTCGAACTTTGAGTGCGTCCGGTCTTGGGCAAAGGCGACGTTAAGGGCCATGGCCGTGGCATGCTGAAGCACCTCCCAGCGGTCCTACCATGACTGCCCTCTTATACCTGGGTCGCCTGGTGCACTTCACGGTTGCACATAGAACGCCCTCGGATCCCAAGAAAGCCGTGACAGTGAAGGCAGTGAAGGCAGAGTCTTCCTCTGAGGTTCCCCAGAGAAGGCTCTGAGGCTCCCCGGCTGTGGGCTTCCCTTTTGGCAAAGGGCTCGCAGACCTCAGATGGCAGCTTTGGGGGGCGGAATCAGATGGCAGCCGGCAGCTCCGCCCGCTTGACGATATTAAACCTTCTGCTTTCGGGGAAGAAGCGGCTGCAACACCTGGCACTGCCTCATGTGCGGCACTCTGCCGCTGCTGCAATGACCGGGCAGCCCGCTCGAGCTTGTGATGCAAGGCTCGCGACGTGGAGGGTGCACTCGGCTACAAGAGGCCTCGTTGTTTCGATGCGCCGGGAGCAGGTGTGGTAGAGAGCGAGAAACTCAGAGGGAAAGGCAGAAGCTTCCAGTGCCTTGTTCAGAAGGCCTCTGAGGAAGCTTAGCTGCGTATCTAATGAACCCTGGGCCGCGCAAGTTGTGCTCCGCCGTGCCAGCCGGTGCATCTAACTGGGCGCTTTGCTCGGGAAGCTTTCGTGCAGCTTTTCAGAGCAGGTGCGCTTGCAATGCTGCATTCGGCAAGGTGGCTAAGGCCAAGCATGAATCTCACGCGCGTGCCTGCTGACAAGAGCATTGTCCGAAACATCAAGACTCAAGCTTCAAAAGGACAGCATGCGAGATTAACCTCGGATGACACTGAGGTTGCCTTGTGACAGCCAGCGGCCCACAAAGCTCCACCGGGAGCATCCTGCCTTGGCCGCCCCTTGAGCTTGAAGCTGACATTGAAGGCACAGCTGCCATGTACAGGAGTCAACCGGAAGCCCGGACTCCGTCTCTGAACTCTGGACACAGGGCCGCCCACAGCCAGCTCCAGGAGGAGGCTCTGCAAGAGGCACTTTGAGCCTAAGCCGCCTTTATGGTCGCAGCTTCCTTCACGGCGCGTGGAAGGAGGACGTTGGATCGCAAACAGGGACAGGGCCGGGCACTGCGTCGGAGATGTATCACTCGCAGCAAGCCTGGTGCAACGGGTTCGGGGTCAGAGTCAGAGGAGCTCGGGAGTCCGGCTGGGCACGCTGGGCCCCTTGTCCACACAAAGAAGCTGTATCTGGCTCAAAATAGCGTTAAATGGGCCTTAAGGATCTCAAACTGTCGTCAGATGCAGCCTGGTGCGGAGACCTTAAGATCTGGGGAGTGCTAGTACAACTTCAAGGCTGCCGTTTGCCAGGTCCGTACTGTGAAGCTCGGCTAACGGAGAGCCGAGCAGTGACATGCGTCGGCCAAGGTCGCGGAAGGAGGCGAAGGGGTCTACCGGGCGCAGACCGGTACGAGAGTCTCGCGCACACAAGGATGCTCGGCGGGGAAGGTGCCATGGTGCCATGCCCGTTCGAAGGAGGAGATGCAGGCCGCAAGTGCGGAGGTTCCAGTGCCCGGCCATCAAGAGGCCGGTGCCACGGAAGGAAGCAGAACTCTAGAAGAACAACTGCCAGGAAAACTGACGAAGATGCAAGATCAGACCTTGAAAGCATGGACCGAGGGAAACATTGCGCACAAGCTGGTGACAGCTGCGATGGGTGACAAAATTACGAAGCGTGTCCTCGCGGCGTTCAGCCAAGAGCACCGTTCTCAGTGGTTGCTGGGAAATTGCACCAAGGGACGGCATGGAGAGACTAAGAGCCGAGGTCGATCCCTTTTGCTTTTGACGGTGTGGTTGAAACTGCCGGGAAGCCAGGAGGATCGGTCTTCTGAGTCGGGCCTCCCCGCACGAAACATCCTGGCAGAATGCTGGTCTGTACTTCCAGAGCCAGCGCCTTCAAACAAGGCAAATCGGGCTGGTTGAAGGAGCCACGTCGAGCGGGCGGCTGCAATGCGCCAGAAGCACCCTGCCTTCTTGCACCTGCCTTGCTTCATCGGCCTGGATGCCAGGAGCTTTGTTGCACTGCGGGATGCCCAGGAGGCGGGTGCATCCTCGTTTCAGCAACTTTCCACGAGCCGCCCTCCAGTCGGAGCCCTGGGCCTGGGGCTTAAAACTCGGAAGTCCTGGAGCCTCGCGCTGAGCTTGGGCGGCAAGCCCGTCACTGCAAGGAAAGGCACAGAGAGGGAGAGGCCGGCATCCGTCAGGAAGTCAGGCTGCACGCTCGGCCCTCCTTTTAGCTTCGTCGAATACTTGGAAATTGCGCCGATGCAAGTCGGAGAAGCGGAGCAGGCTCTAAGGCTTGGGGGCTCCCGCTGCAACGTCCCTGGCAGTCACGTAAAACCCGTCCTGAGCCACCAAGCCTGCCATGTCATGCCTGTCTGCTAAAGACGGGCAGGCTTCGGAAGTAGGCGGGAACAGCCCAAGCTCGTTGGCTCACTGATCGTGGCTTGGGAGGTTTGCAGGCGGTCACGCTGGAAGGGCCAGAGTAGAGGCAAGCTGAGGCCTGGAAACAATTAAGGAGGCATCGCCTACGGGCCCGGCCCACAAGTGGCGTTCGAGGCTTGGCACCGGCAGCCTCGCGACTTTCTGAAGTCGGCTCCGACAGGCTTCCGAGGCTGGGAACGAGCATGACAGGCGACGCCGGCCAATTGCGTTTTGAGGTTCAGACGAACCTCAAATGTCGAATGCTTGGAAACCTCCTGACATGGGCACCTTGAAATCTGAAAGCGGCCTCCCTTCTTGCAAACTGCGCACCGAAGCCTGGAGGCGAGACCCCAGGCCTCGAAGGACTCGGTTCGGGGGGGCTCCCAGGGTAAATTCCGGGGCCTGGCCAAAATCCCGAGCTGGAGCGCCACGCCCGAAAGGGCACCATCCACCAGACTGGCCTGTTTCAGAGGCTCCGAGGGCTGGGGACCGAAGCCAGAGCCCCTGGACGCAGGCAATGTGTAGGCTGTCGGGTCCAAGGGATTTAATGTGTCACTTCTGCAACCTTTACAGCAACAAACTGCGCACTTTCTCAGCTTCTCTCTGGAAGGCCCTTGGAAAGCAGTGCTACCTCCCTGGCTTTCACCTCCTCAATCTATCTTCAACTTCCTGCTGGCTGGCAGGGACCGGCTCTCAACAGAGATCGGCTTTGGGCCTTGGGCCTTGGGCCTTGGGCCTTGGGCATAGCCCAGATACAGCCCGACTCGGCTGCTGCTCATGTGATGTCCGTGTCGAGGGTGCTTTCACCGAGATCCACACGAGAAGGCCCTGGCTTGGAACCGACTTTCTCAGACATTAAGGAGGAAATCTGCGGCATTCCGGCGGGGAGCTCACCGCCTCGGCGAAAGTGAATGGTACACCGTTGCTCGACGCCAGCCCAGGAGTCAGTGGCCCGGGCTAGGAGAGAGCAGGTCCTCTGCCCCTTGCGACCTAGAGTTCATCCCTCCAAGCCAAAATCAGCGAAAGAGAGCTGAGACTCGGCCGGGAAGTCACGGAGGAAGATCCCATCAAAAAGGCTCCTCCCAGCAAGGAGCTGTCTGCGCAGAGACAGAGGCTCAAGGAGCCAGTGCGGCACAGACCACAAGGCCTTCCGACCTGCGGCAAGCAAGCAGATGCATTTGCAGGCAAGGCAGGAGGATTTAATAGCTCCTGGTCTTTCAGAAATGCTTCTGAGAGCACCGCAAGTCGAAACCTGCTCGGACGGACTCTGATCCGTGAATGCACTAGATTGTAAACTTCCGACTCCAGAGGTACATCTACGCAGGATCTGCTACGATCCGCTACGACACATCCATGGCGACTGAAACCTCTCCCCGCCAATGGCTCATCGGCTTAGAAGTTTGCCAGGTGCTTTCATAATCCTGGCAAGACTCTCAGTGTACACGAGCTCCTTTGGCCTGGGCATCATTCGTTTATAGAAGCGCGACACTCCGCCTTTGGGTCCCGGCACCGTCTGAAAGCCTAATCGGGACACCCATGAATGGAGTTGAGGAGTCTTGGAAACAGGTGAGCATGAAAGACACGGCCGGGACTGATCTGGATTGCGTGGCTCCTTGTTACCGAGCACAGCTCTCCGAATGGGCAGGAAGGAGCATGAGAAGCTTGAAGACACAACTGGCACATGCGAGCTACAAGACTTGGCCAAAGCAAGGAGTTCGGCTCTCCGGAGAACATGGCGCAACTCAGGTTCATACCGACATTTTCGGGTGTTGGCTTCTGACTCAAAGCTTGTGTTGATGGAAGCTCTCGGCAAGGGGAGATGGAGAGTAAGACTTGCAATGTCTTCACGCACTTGCCAACAGGCTTTGGCCTCTCTTCCTCGTTACCTAGGCTGCGGCTTCTGCACAGGCAAGAGCCTGGCAAGCTTGAAGACACCACTGGCACATGCGAGCTACAAGACTAGGCCACAGCAAGGAGTTGGTCCCTGAACGGGGCCCAAAGTCCTGCGTGGCCTTAAAGGAGAGAGGAGCACCACTCGGGTTCTTCAGGCCAATTGCAAGCGTCTTGAGCATCACTTTCTCGGGGCCTTGTATTGGATGGAAGGCGCTCGAGACGAAGCGTGGAGACGAAGCGGTGCAAGGCCTTAAGAAAGGCAGTGGCCAACAGGCTCCGTCCGTTTTTTGCCGCTGTGCTTGGGGCTCCGAGAATCCAAAGCCTGAGTACCCTGCCTGAGTGCACAAAGAGGGTCCAGAAAGTGCATCGCGACACCTCTTCGAGCCTGAGCCATCAGTGTAAAATCAGGGCTCTGTCTGAAAGAGCTTCCATTTCCCTCTGGCCAAGGCTTGTCGGAGCTCTCGAGTGGAGCGCAACCAGGCGGGACAGGCTTGAGCCATTCGAGGTCGTGGGAGGCGCACTGAGAAAAGGCGTTACCAACTTGCTCAGGCACATTGAACTCTAGGCCTCACAGAGCAGCCTGTAAAGGACACCAAAGCCCTTGAAAGAGCATGCTCTGCACCAGGAACGCGACGAAGCGGTGCCAGGCAGAGACATGCGGTTAATTTCTCACAGGAGTGGACGGCCTGGAGGGCGAAGCTACCCAGGTCTTGGGCGGCCTCTGCCAAGATAGCGTCGGACTGCAGGCGGCTTGAAGAGATTCTTCCGGCCTCAAAGCAGGTCTCGGCATCTTCTTGACGGCACATGAGGCTGCAAGAGGCTCCCTGCAGAGCTTTGCAACTGGTGTCGCTTTTGGGCTCAATGGACGCGCTGCCTTCGTTGCCTTCTGACGGCAGGCGTGAGGATGCCTCGATGCGGAACTGCACCAGCCAGGACGGCTTTGACGATGCAGATTTCGACAAGGCGCACTTCGTTGGGACGGGCGCTCTGCGTTGAGCCCTTGGAGCTCGGGCAGCTCGGTCACAGAGGAGGAGCATCACATGAATCAAACAAACTGCAGCCTGTTGCGGCCTTAAACGCCCAGAACCAGGGCAGATCTCACTCTGGACAAGCTGGATGCGTGCAGGCGCTTGAAGGAGGGGGGAGCGGGTGGGTCTTTGCGTCCTGCGCTTGTTGAGAAGGGACACGGTGCAGCAGCCCTCCTTCAGGGGCCCTTTTTTCACAGGGAGACTTAGGATGGACGTGGGAAGAGGCGCCGACGGCCAAGCTTCGGGCTCCGTGCGCTGGTCTTGGAGCAGTCTTCGGCAGCCGGTTCTAAGCAATGCTACTGGGGACCTACCGCCTTTCTTCGGGGAGCTCTGGGGGTTCTTTGCCTTCATGGGTGCTTGCACCTTCATGGACATCTCTTGCCATTTAAACTTAGAGAGACTATGAAGTGCAGACCCTCGCGGTTTGGTCTTGCAACACGACACAAGGCAGCGGGCAAGCGGAACTTGCGCAGCAACTCTGGCGAGAAATCTCTGCAGCTGTTGATGGCTCCGTGTGCTGGTGGTGAAGTTGCGAAGCCAACAACTTCATCATGTACCAAACAGATAGTGGCAGGTCATTCACACCTCCGCTTCTCATCAACGCACTGGTAGCGCAAATGCCTGCTGGATAGGGTCGTCGCTTAACAATTAAACTTAGAGACACTATGTTATGCAGACACTCGCGGTATGGTTTTGCAGCATGGCACAAGGCGAAGAGCAAGTGGGACTTGCACAGCAACTCTGGCGAGAAATGTCTGCAGCTGTTGATAGCTCGCTGTGCTGGTGAAGTTGCAAAGCCAGCAGCTTCATCATGTACCAAACAGACAGTGACAGGTCATTCACACGGCTGCTTTTCATCAACACACGGGCATTGCAATGCCTGCTAGGTGGACAGCACCTTTGTTCATAGACTTTGGACAGCACTGGATCCGCCAATTGCAAATCTGGCAATGCACCCACCGGCCAAAGACATGCGAGGAAGGCACTTCACACCACGTGTTGCCCAACGAACCTCGCATAGGCATGGTCTGGCACGACTGCAACTGCGAAGCTAGGAAGCTCATGATGAAATAAAGAGGTCGCACCCCATCAGATGACAGGCGCTGAAGGCACCTCAATTGGGGCTCTCCAGCTTCACATGGTTCCTTCGACGAAGTTCAAGATCGGGAGGCCGAAGGCTGACAGTGCAATCGCTCTGCTCTTGGGAGGTCGCAGCGCCCAACCGGGCCGCAACGGGCTCGGTGCTGTCGCGTGGCGGGCGGAACGGGACGGGTGGCAGTGCGGGTAGGCGCTGACGGTCAGGCGGAGGCGGACACCACCTTTGGCATGCGAAAGAGGCTCGGGCTGAGAGGAGACAGCAAGCTTAGCAAAGTCGGGTGGGAGAGATGCTCAAAAGCTTTGCTTGACCAAAGCCAGCTATCAGAAAGCATTCTTCGTGCGAGAAGCTCACAGCCTGCACTGTAGAGGGGGAAGGATTCGGGCTCGGGCTCACTGCGAAGAACACGCCGAGCAATTCAGCAATTTGCAGCAAATTGGGCTACAGTCCGAGCCTTTGAGAACACCAAGGTCTGTGGCTGTGGCATTCCCCAAACTTTAAGGAAGAGCGGAAGAGCTTCTGTGATGCAGCTCCTGGCCGAGCCTGCCTGAGATGCATTCATTTTACCTCTTGACACAGGCTCCCCCCGTGACTCATTGACTCACCCTGGAATGGATGGGCATTGGCAGCGTGCATATATAGGCGTGCATGACTGCAGATGCTGGCCTCTTCCAGACCCAACCGACAGGTTCTCTCAACCGTGCGAGAGCGACCGCGAGCGCCGATCGCACTGAGACAGGTAGGCTTCTGCAGTGCCTGCATTAGCACTGTGCGTTCTCCATGCCTGGATGCCTTCAACAAGGGCAGGCTGGGGACAGAGGCCAAAATCTCACCACAATTGAACGGAACGCTGAGCGAGAACAGGCGAACAGAAAACGTCGTGACGGAGTGACAAGAAAGAGCATCCCGTGAGCGTTGTGCAGAATGGGCGCGGAACTCCTCGTCCTTGTTTCCTGCAGAGGGAAGGATCCAGAGAAAGTGCTACAGTTCCTTGCATGCCTGTTTGTAAGCGAGAAGTCTGCTGTCCCGGCTAGGCGCTCAGGCTGCTTCGTGGAGGTACTCGGGGGCAGCATGCCGCACAGAGAAAGAGCGGTGCTATGGCTTACACCGAGCCATGGCGGGCATCAAACAGAAACCGCAGAACCGCAGGTTTCTCGACGCAAGTGGCATCTTGAGAGCCAGACTGTTGCCATGCGGTTTCTCATCAACCTTGGGTGCAGGACATGCCTAAGCACGTTGCCTTCACGACGGCTGCCCACAGCTTGTCGCAAAGGAAGTATCAGCCGGTGGGCAGAAATTAAGCGAAATCTACAGTTTGGGAAATGTCGGACATTTTTCCTTCCGGGATCCGACACTTCCACGACACGAGCTGAGGGCACCTTATAGAGACGCCCCATCCGCCATGAACCTCACGGGTTCGGAGCTCCCAAGCAACACCTGAAGGCAAGCCGGCAGCCTCTCTGCCATCGTGCCAGCCGCTTGCAATCAGACACCAACAGCCTTAGGGCCGTCCCTTTACCAGAGACTTTTTCAGTGGAAGGCGATCTCGATACCGGGACCTGAAAAGTTGGGGCGGGCGAAACTTAGAAGCCAAACCGCTCCGAAGCTTAACCTGCAGCCCAGGCTTTGTGTGCAACACATAGGCTCGAACGAGCGGAGAGCTCGGCATGGGGAGAAGTCTCTGGGCGATAAGGCCTGCCTGGCTAGACGTCAACCGAACTGGCCATCTGGAGAAGAGAAGCCGAGGTCGCAGTCATAGTCGACCTCGAGACAGCATCCGAATTGCCAAAACCCGCAAATCAGGCGACTCCGTGCGAGCCCGTGGCCCGAGAGCAGGATCAGGGAGCTCTTCGGAGAGGCTGGGGCTCAGCGGTGGCTAACAAAATTGCAGATGGGCTGCTTTTCAGGAGTATCCGGCAAGAGAACACAAGCTTCAAGGTCTTCCTGCAGCCCAGGGGTTTCGGGCCACAGGGTTCCGCCTGGATTTGGACAAGCTGTGTGTCGATCGCAGGCCTTCGGGCCCTGGGGTTGCCATCGAACTTTTGGCACAGCCCCAAGTAAAGCGGGCACTGCAGACACCTCAACTCCTTCAAAATGGCTTTGGGAGGGTTCGTGGGCCTAGCATCTCGCAGCGCATCGCACGGGAGCTCTTTACGCTGCTACTCCACAACTCAATGGAGTCTGGAGGGCATTCTGGCAAGCCATCGCTGTGCTTCTGAGCGTTCCTGCGGCTGTATGTAGACAGAGGGCTCTACCACGCAGGCAGGGGCAGGAGACTGGAGAACCAGCACCTGGTAAAGACTTTTGAAGTCATAAGGGGAAGCTAGGCGATTCTTTGACTTTGCCTCGGGCTCGGCGCCTATGCAACTGGAAGAAAATTCCTCAACCATCAGCGTCGCACCGCGAAGCCTTCGACTACGATGCCCGTTTCAAAGCCAGATGCCCGCAGAAGACAGCACAGCTGGCTAGAGAGCCAAGCGCCAAGAACTAGCCTTGAAGCCTGTCGGGCCTGCCGGGCCTGTCGGGCCAGCCGCTACCGAAGGCAAAAGCCGGAAGGGGACCTTGGCCACACGACCTCCTCGCCGACCTCACCTGCACCAAAGACAACTGCATCGAGACCTCTCGTGTCCAAGCAGCCCTCTCCTGAGAAAGGATGCGAGAAATCTTTTGAGGGAGCTGGCCAGCCCTGCACACGGCTGCACACTGCTACACACTGCCCTACACTGCCCTACACTGCCCTACACTACTCTGCCTGTAGGCAATGCTTGGTGGGCCTACGGGCCAGGCTTGGGGAGACGGCCACGGCCTCTCACGGCTCCTGGGACTTCGCGAGGGCGCCTCTAAGCCCACACGGCAACGGCGTGCACGGCCGCAAAAGGGCACTTCCAGCTTCCTTCCATGCGAACTTTATGTCGAGCTGGGAGAGAAGGCCTCGGACTAAGGGCAAAAGGACCTCCTGGGAAGGCTTTAGGGCGCTTTCGGTGCGCGTGGGCGGTGTGCGGCCACGAGGCTCATCTTGCTATTGCACGAGGCTGGTACGAGCCACAGAGAGAGGCTGAAGCGCTGGATGAGGCTCGGCTCGGGAAGACAAGAGGAAGTTGAAGAACCGGAGCTGGGTACCAATGCTTGGTAGCTTCTGAAGGCGATGCACCCTGCTGCCCTTCAAAGGCATCAAGCCAAGGGACTGCGGGAGAAGAGGCTTTGAAAGCTGGATGCCAACCAAATCTCAATCAGCAGGGGGCCCTCCTCGGTGAAGACCCGGCATTCTGTCAGGGTCTCCTCAGGCACGAGCTTTGCCAATGCTCGCTTCAAGGAGCCCCGACAAGTACACCGTAAACCACACGAAGCCCTAGAAGCCTGCTTCACCAATTCACGATGGGCCCTTTGTCGTGACGAGTGCTATGCGGTGCCTCCAAAGCAAGCCTTGAAGCCAAAAAGCACCTCGCACTCGCCCTGCCGCAGGACTCGCAAGGGACTAACCCCTCCCAAGCCTCCTAAGCCGAGGGGGCACGGATGGGCCCAGGGTCGGCAAGCAGGGGAGAGTCTGACAGAGGCACCAAAAACGCCGGCTCAGACTTCAGAAGCCCAGTGTAGGCTAGCAGCCGTTGGCGACGGCATGGCCCCCAGCCCTTAGCACCTTCTTGAGACCAGGTCTACTGGAGGACCTTCTGTTTTCACCGGAGCCCGTTTTTTCCCAGATGCCATGCTTTTCTCAGATGCTTCGGCTTCGGTCTCGGAGCTCGGATCAGCACCTGGGCTCGAGCCGGCCGCGGAACGGGGCCCAGAAACCTTCCCAGCTTCAATGGGAAGCGATGGCCCTGGGGGCCGCGGAGGCGAGCTTTGAAGAAACGTGGCGCGGCGAGATCCGCGGACGAGACGGGTTGGAAGGGAGTGGAAGGGCAGAGACCTTCGAAGCTTTCGAAAGCCTCGAACCAGCGAGCTGGGACCGGAACCTCAGACAAGGGGCCCTCGAAGGCTCCTCACAGGAACACATCTTGAGCACCTTCCACCGCTTCCTATGAGGCCCACGGGTACGCGTGCCGAACCCACCGAAGTCCTCCGAATGACGATAGACTATCACGGCTTCAGCTGTTGCACATGCAAGCAGCGTCCGGCAAGAATGCCAGAGGTGCCAAGGTGCCTTATCACCTTCAGTCCCTCATCAGTGAGACATTCCTCTGATTGAAGGTGCGCTCGACAGCTTTCATCTCAAGCAAATCCATCTGAGGGGTTTGGTGCTAGAACATGGGGCAGGTGTCGAGGCCTCTGGAATCCTATAGAACCCTGTGAGCACTTCAGGCCTTGCATGGCTCACGCTCCATCCAGGAGCTGCAAATTCAGCTGTGCGGGCTGTGAGAACCGCGCAATAGCCGCCAAGCGATCATGTTGGGCTCTGGCTCCGGTGGATTCACATGCTTGGCGCTCCGAAGACGCGACCGATCCCAGTTGGCACGTCGCTAACGAAGCCCGAAACCCACCTTTCACGGATTCCGGCGAGCGCTTCACTCTGTAGGTGAGCCGAAGCCACGCTGTGGTCAGAACCGGAGTCTTATTGCAGGACCTCATGACAAGCTGCTTGCCTCTGGCAAGATTCGGATCAGCCTCCAAGGTAATCTTAAGTACGCCTTGTCTCTGAAATCTTCACCTCAAGTTGCCCTTGAACAGTTCGAGTGCGCCGAGGGAAAAATCGGGAGAGAACGATGGACAGGCAACCTCTCTATGGAACGTGCTTCTGGCATGACGGAACATCCTTCCAAGCAAACATCATCGCAACGGGGATGAGGCAGGCCTGCGGAATCTTCAATTCTGCTGCAAACTTAGTTAGTGGTGCCGGAAGGCCAAGCAACAGGGCTGTGTTCGACATACGACGAAAGTTCGGACGGGTCCGTGCTACGGCGACACCAGCCTTCTCTGCACAGGTACAGAATCGCAGGGTCAATGCAGGCTGGGAAACGGTCAAAAGTCCGTCAGCTGCTATAGCTCTAACAATCGGATCTTACGGAAAGGCGACATGAAGGAATCAGGCATGCAATGGCTGTGCAGCGGGCTGAAGACAAGCTCTTCAGCGGAGCTCCTGCTCTGCTCGACACTCTCCCACTAGAGAGCTGCATGCGGACAGCCTCCCTTCTCACGGTGCCACCACAAGCCGTGCCGAGGGAGCTGAGCCTGAGCCCCTTCGCCTCACGACGATC